ACCATCTTTTAAAGAATTAGTTTGAGGGAAATCCATTAATTCAGCATAAATGAATTCAAAATCTATAAAGCACTGTATGCTCTTTGAGTACAACTTTATCCCTAGAGATTTTGTTTACCATTAAGAGAAATTTCTAAATTATTTACAGTAATAGAAACAAGGAATTATAATACTACAGAATACCAACCAAAGCACCAGCTGCATAAAGCATTGCTTGATCATTAAGAAAATCTTTCTTTGCAGTATGATAGCAACTATAAGCCAAGTCATAATGCTGCACCAAAAAACATAAGTCAGCCATTTTCCTGATTTGAAGCTCTGGTGCTTCTGGTGGATACCTGCAAATACAAAATACAGAAAACAATTTATAATATATGACCCCCAAAATCATTAAAATTATAAAATCTATAACAAGCTGACATGTTCTTCCAGAACATGAGGAAAACTGATCCTGTTTTATATGAATTCTACCTCTAACAAGAGTGTCTATTTCTCAAAAATATTTGGAAATAGAAAGTGATTTTATTTATTTATAGCCCTGAGAACTTCTCAACAGCAGGCAAGCATCTCTCCATGACCAAATTATGAAGTTAACGGTTAACTCCAGGTGACTCACTTTTATGTACAAACAGGGAGAAAAATTAAAATCCAAAATGGATTAATTTTATTTTCCCTTAACACAGGATTTTGCATAAAACACAATTTGCTAGATACATGCCATGTCTTCGAATCACTAAACCATTACATTTTAGATATAGAAGGATTATTAATGAATACCTAACCTAACTCCATCTTTTTACAAATAGGGACACAGACCAAAAGTAAAGTGACTTTCCCATTTATCTTGTTTATTTTTAGATATCCAATCACTCAGTTTTTTAAAACATTAATATAATTTACTTACAGTCATCGCTCTTATCTGAGTTTTGACCAATGTGAAACTGAGAAACTAAAGAGATAATTATTTTTGGCAAGCTATCATAGAGTCAAGCACCAGACAGAGTTAAACACAGAAATAAAAGATTATAATATTTTACTCACAGCAACCCGGATGTATTTTTCAGCTCATTAATGCTCTTTTCTGGAACTTTACTGCCACTAAACCATTTTTTAGTTGCAGAAAACAGAGATCGACTCAAACCTTTTCTTGATATTAGCTAAGAAAAAATATTAAAT